CTGTAACCAAAGTATTTGTGTGTTCTGTATCTGCTTTGAGCATCAATCATCGACAAGATCCAGGTATAAAAATTCAGTTCACATTATCAGTAAGCAGACAGAAAGACTTTTGTTTCCTCTGCAGGGAAGGCTGCAACATGACAGTGAAAGAATTCTTTTGAACAAAGGACTCCTCAGGTGTTTTGAGAAGTGAAGCAAAAATGAATAATTGCTTTTCATTCTTCTTCAAACACAGAATCATTTTTGTAAGTTCAATAAGAATTTCTTTACTGGTTGTTATAGTTTTTCTAATCTACTTGGCTTTAACTATCCTCTGAATAAATATCTTATTTGTATTCCTATTTGCCTCTGAAACATCTTGCTACCTTTTGCACAATGAGAGAAATTTATCACTCTAAATGTTTTTCTTCTCAAGGCTGCAGACTGCATTCTTTTACTTGGAAAAGCTCTTCTCTACAGAGACTTGCAGTGCAGTTTATGCAGAATTCACTGCCTTACATTCTTCTAGGAATCATCTGCTGAAACACATCTCAGATTACAAGTGTTTCAGAAAATGATGTAGTGCAGATGAGATATTGCTGTAGAACTGAATTTTAAACATTAACATCTCACTTAATATTTAAGCCTTACAACAATGATAGGTGAGACTTTTTATGATTAAATGGTCTTGACAATACATATCTCTTTGTTCATACAGTCAGACTCAGTAGTTTACTTGTACTCAGTAGGTTACAGCAGGTTCAACATACACTACGAGGACATACCTGGGAAGAAAACTATTTAGAAATTATTGTCCATATTCATTGAACTTCGATTACTGTAATGCCTGTTCAACTTTGGTCAATGGACAGAAAATAAAAAACCCACTCTGCTTTTCATTGAATTGTATTTAGTATTACAATAGTTTAAACGGTGTTTTGTAAAGTGCTCTGGAGTTTTTCTAAAATCAATATAAAAATACCATATTCCTTTTTCAGTAAGCACGTAAGAGTATTCTAAGGAGCATGTGAAGATGCTAATGTGCTCCCACACAATATTGCTGATGACAGACAACTTTATGAGGGCCAAAGTTTATTGTTCAGGACAGAAAAATGAATGCTTTAAATGGTTTGAAAGCAAAGTACAAGCAATCTAAAAGACAAAACAAGAACTGCTAGTGCCTCTTCTTCTGCCATCCTGTGCTAATATTAAATCCAGCAGAGTTGAGATACACTAGAGATTCTGTTCTAGTGTTTTTGATCACAAGATGAAATTAATGTATATTGTATATGAAGAGAGCAATTTTAAAATCTTGTCAAAAAGCACTTTTGCATAGTTATTTAATACATTATATGTTATAACCCTTTCTGACAGTAGATGCATAGAATACACATAGAACCAGAAAAAAAGACATTGAAAATTTTCAATTGATTTATCATTATTTTCCTAAAAGCCTTTCCTGTTGACAGAATTTATAAGACTGAAGTTTACTGAGTTTGTCTAAGCAGGATAAGTAAGATCCAAGCCACTAGAAGTGATAGCTTTTATGAATAAATTTTCCAAGAGATGTTTGAACCTTTTGTAAAAATTAAAGAAAATAATAGTATGGGAAATAGACATAATTTAAGCATTTTATCATCAGGAAATTAAATTTGTGCATCAAAAGTACCACAACAGTGAGAACGAGCAACTGCAGATATATTAAAAATAGATGATGATGCAAGTAATTGTGGCTTATAAAGATTGCTCTGTTTCAGCAAATATGGTCTAACACCATCTTGCTTATAGATGTACATTAAAAAAGATCTTCCGTTGTTGGATTTCTACCTATCACCAGCTTGTCCAAAGATGAAATCAATTGACCTTATGGGATTAATACCAGAGAAACTATACAAAAAGGTGTGTGGATAAAGAGAAAAATCACAGCTTTGATCAGGAACATGGCCAAGCCAGACAGCATATATCTTTCAATGAACTATAAATAAATACACCATGAGATCAAGGAAGGTCCATGGATTTCATAGAATCATAGAATCCCAGAACCATAGAATCATAGAATAGTTTGGGTTGGAAGGAACCTTTAAAGGTCATCTAGTCTATTGTTCCGAATAAAAGTAAAGTAAAGAGGACCTAAAAGAGAATTCTTGCTCTTCTTAAAGGTTTCTGGAGTTTAGTTTGTAGGTCCAATATTTTGAATAAGCATTAATTCTATGGAAAGCATCACTAAATGTACCTGACAGATGTCAGCAAACATACTTGATGTGATACGGTATTTATATGGCAAAAGGAAAAAGAGTAAAGTGAAGTGTCATGTTAAATAAAACCTGAAAATACAAAATGAAAGAACTGGGGTAAGTAAGTAAGAAAGAAAACAAAGAGAGACAAATGACTTCATGCAAAGAAAGCATATATTTAAACCAAGATTGTGATGAGTCTGCAAATGAATAGAAGAACCTTAAATAAGAGAAGGATGTGGACGATAAGACAAGACAAGGATAAATCAAAAGACTTGCAAACATAGTGAGAGGAGCACAAAAAAAGAAAGGCAAAAAATAAATATTTCAACACCAAGAGATCATCAAACTTTCCTACCAACACAGCCAGTCTGAATTAAAATGCAACTAAGGTGTAGAATTGTCAGAAGAAATCCAAAAGCTAAAAGATCCTAAAGAAACTAAAGGTACATCAAAAACTCAGGTAAGGGAAGTAGATTCATTCACTGAACGGCAAAGACTATAATTTTACAAGGTGTCAAAAGAGTAGTTTATGAAATCATGAAATTGTAAATCCAGGTGTTTCACAAAAATCCCACTGGTGTTCAAGCACCTGGTAAAACTTCTGCAAAACTCAGTACTTTTTTCCAGGACAATACCAAGATTTCAGTTTCAAAATGGTGCCATACTGGGCTCTCTAGACATATATCCATCAAACCCCCTTTTTTCCTCCCCTTATTATTATACTCCAAAGTTAGGCTGATACATTTCTGATTTAACTGACCAACAGGGATATGAAAGTCCTTCCTTTTGCAAAGACAGACAATCTGAAAGCCTTAGTGATTACTAAGCACATACAGAAAGCTAACCAACCTAAGACTGAAAGTATAGTAAGTAGGAACAACGGACCTCTGAGGATCACTGCCTCTCTGGTTCTAGTACTTCACACCACTCTGGCTACATATCCTTCCTATCTTCTGACTGTAGTAAACCAAACAGGAGAGTGAGAACATAAAAATGACCTAAGTTTTCTTAAATATTTCTAATTAAGTTAATAATCGGAAAACTGAGCCTATTACTGTTTGAAGATACGTGATTTAAGGAAGACAGAAAATTTAGTGGTCTGCCATCCACAGTATTCATTCCATCTCTGGTAAAATTGTTGGAACCTTAGAGCAGAGCAAAACCTTTGAGCAGAGGTTAACAAAGATCTGAATGTTTATGCAGAAAAGATTAAAAATATTCCTTTGGGATAGAATAAGTTTTACTGTGGAATATCTGCAAGGTTAGATTGTTCCAACACAAACAAGGACAACTTGTGCTTAAAAATGTCTGCTTTCTAGATATTCTAGTAAGAAACCAGCAATGAATCACAGCCAATAAACATGCTAACAATATGACTTGCCCTGTTTGTACCACTAAGTCTGTATAATATTATGTTAGTTAAAAAAAGGTCTTCTTGATAAAATTCACATGCTGTTTAATAAAAAAAAAAAATAAATCCATTATCCCATTTTCCAGCAAGCACAAGACCTATGGCAAGGGAATAGCAACATAGCAGGGTCAAAAATTAAGCGGAGCCTAAGAGATAACCATGAAGTATCTGGGAATACAGTGACAACTATGGGGAATACAGTGATGACTACGTAGACAACACAGATATGCATCCAAGCTCAGACTGTTAACAGTTTTTAAGACAGAACTGTGCAAATGCAAGTAATCAGGCAGCTCACTAAACATTTGGATTTATCAATGCTTGGCTGCACCCCATCTTGCAATATCCAAGATTGCCTATTTTATCTCTTTTTTTCCCTCTATCCCCAGGCCCAGCTGTATTCCTCTGACTCCTGTTTCCTATACACCTTTCCTTAGCCTGCCAGCAGCATGTATTGTACCCAGTGTAAAAGCTGTGTATAGGCTGACAGGTGGCTGCATGGCAGGAACACGTATTGGCCGACCCACTGATCACCATCTTACAGTTGCTGCATAGGCATATACTGCTCCACCTTTGCTGAGTAAGGTACACAAATCACTGTATATGTACACTTTAGCTACATCTGACCCAAAGGAACCAGAAACTTCCTGACACAGACTATTCTGAGTGGGTCCAAAATCTCAGTAGAGCAGTAGCGTAACAGAGTACACACTCAGCTACGCTGCCTACTCTGTGCTAGTATTAGTAGCCATCAGTACTGGTTTAAAGGTGGCATGGTTGCATCCTAAATATATTCCCTGTTGTAGTCAGCAAAAGCACATGATGCTCTGATCTTATTGTTTTCAGCTATGATTACAGCATTATCTTTTCTCTTAGAAGTGGGGAAGAAATACTCTTTCACATGACAACTTTTATCTCAAATACTCATTAAACTCTCAATTCCAATACTTCTTAGTAAAACAGATTATCTGTTAAGGTATCTTCTGTCCCACCTTAAATGTTCAGGTTTCAGACCTTTGGCAGTGTTATTCCACCATGAAGTTTTAAAGGATATACCAAACTCAAATGTCTTTCAAAAAAAAAAAAAATAAATCAAATAAACACTTCTTCTCATTTAATAAAAAACACTTGTGTGCTATTTTTATAATTTTATAAAAGCAAGAAGGAAATGCACACATTGATTTTTTCCTCTCCTGGTAATTTTTGTGGTTAAATATGCATTACCCATAAGACTTATTTTGTGTCTGTTGGAAAAATACACACTTAGGTTCCATTTATTTTTCACCACAAAAACTTTATAAAATTCATGATGATAAATTATAAATAAGAAAGATTTCTACTGAATGTAGAAGAGTAAATTTAGACAGTAATACCTGAAACAACACCAATTCCATCATCACAGTCATAATCAGAGACTTCACTGTCACTGATTCTTTTGGACCCTGTCAAAAAAAAAAAAAAAAGAAAAAAAATCAGAAATGTATCATATATCTTCCTGTAAGTTAAAACTATCCTCAGCTAATAATACATAAATAAACTTAAGGATTTCATACCAGACAATGAAGCATTAATATAAGCATAGAAGGGAAATTATTAATGTTATATTATTGCAAATGTATTAGTGTACCAACTACTTTTAGGTAAATGTTAATGTAATATACAATGAAATGCTGAAATACAGCTCCACAACATTGCTTTTATCAAATATTTTCACATACTTCTTATCTAAGTGTACTCATTCCATATAGAACCTCATATCACGCTGTTCATTATCCAAGGTTTCAAGCATAAGGCACCATCCCTCCCCAAAGTCTTTGAATACCAGAAAAATGAATAACAGCAATAATATTAAACGGATGTAATATTTTCTTTAGGGTATTAGTAAGCATTATCAGGAGAACAGGCAGCTTCACACATATAGTGGTCCTGAAAAACAAAATCTCTCTACGACACTTTAGCGGAAGCAAACTATTAAATGCTCTATCAGAATACACCTGTCAAATAGCTAGAGCTTAGATGGTAAAGCAGATTCCACATCCACAATTAGGGCCAAAATGTAGGTCATGTAGGACAAATATATATGTCAGTTTGTGATTAGCTTAATTTTACTTCTGTCTTCTGTGGCATCTTTTAAACAGCATTTGATTGCCGACATCAGGATTAAGCACTGGCATGTAAATGATTATTCATTTATTTGTTTTAAATGTGAAAATTCCTGTTCTTCAGCAAGATGGTGTGTCTCTTCCAATTCTCTGGCCATCTAAAAATAGGTAACTAGAAGGTAGAAGCTTTAATCTACTTGTCACCAAACCTTCAATCATGTACAAGATTTTTTTATTACTACCACAGGATGATATATTCTGAAAAACACACACACATAAATACCAGTAAAAACTGGGAGTAAACCTAAAGAAACCCAGGACAAAACAGGATTAATGTTCTGTCAGGGTGACTGGCACAGAAGGATCCTTACCCTCCTTTCCCAACAGAAAATTGGGAGAACAAGTGCTAAGAGGATTTTTGACCAAAAAAAAAAAAAAGTTTTCAATTTAAAGAAATTTTAGAAATTATTTGAATCACAAGAACTGCTGTCTAACATCTGTCTACCCAGCAGGGGATAGCAGAAGGTCCTTCTATAGCGGAAGGAGTACTCTTACAAGATCTGTATGTAAAAAGGTTTCTTTGTTGCACTGTTCTAACTTTCAGCAG